GGACTCCAGGATCATGACCTGAGCCGAAGGCAGTCGCTTAACCGACTGAGCCACCCAGGCGCCCAAGATATACACTTTTTAGAAATTTGTTCATATGTTTCACTTTTCCCAGGATTGTTCTGGCATATGCCCATAAACTGACATTATTATTATTATTATTATTATTATTATTTTAAGCAAGCTTTACATTCAATGTGGGGCTTGAACTCATGACCCCAAGATCAAGAGTTGCATGTTCTACTGACTGAGCCAGCCAGGCACCCCCATAATTATTAATATTAATAAACTACTTTTTACTCTAAAGTACTCTGGCTTAAACTACATATGATCCCTCTACTTATACTACTAAAGAGATCAAATCAGTAATTTAAAATAACCAAGACAGGCACTTGGGTGGCTCAGTCGGTTAGGCATCTGACTCTTGGTTTCAGCTTAGGTCATGATCTCAGGGTTGTGAGATCCAGGCCTTTGTGAGGCTCCATGCTCAGCACGGAAGTCTGCTCAAGATTCTCTCTCCCTCTTCCTCCCCCTCTGCCCCTCCCCCCGTGCACTCTCTCTCTAAATAAATAAAATCTTTAGAAGCTCAAAGACCAAATAATATTATTGAAGGGTGCATAAATATGTGATAAAAACTATAAAACTAAGGCAATAATAAAATTCAGGAAGATGGTTGGAAAAACAGGATAGGATAGAGGAAGCATACAGATAAGTAGATGAAATGTATGTAATGCTATACTTATATTGGTAATGTTATGTTACTATGTTATTTAATATATAGTATATATAGATGATGAATCAAGGAATAAGGATATTGGGGGCGCCTAGGTGTCTCAGTCATTAAGCGTCTGCCTTTGGCTCAGGTAATGATCCCAGGGTTCTGGGATCAAGCCCCGCATCGGGCTCCCTGCTTGGCTGGGAGCCTGCTTCTCCCTCTCCCATGCCCCCTGCTTGTGTTCCCTCTCTTGCTGTGTTTCTCTCTGTCAAATAAATAAAATCTTAAAAAAAAAAAAAAGGAATAAGGATATTGGTTTATATGGGTAATAGTACTACGCAGGTGACTCTGTTGGTAAAGAAATATGTTTCATACCTGTTTTGCTGTCATGTTAAATTCAAATGCAAGTGATTGACTATCTCCTTTTGTGGGGCATTTGTTTAACTTAAAGGTTGCCCAGAGAGTGTCCATGAGGGGTTTGCTGACTAATCTTTTCTGGGGATATTGTTCTTCATTTTTCTCTTCCTTTTCCTGTTCCTCTTCCAGTCTCTCTTCTACTTCCACTTCTTTTTCTTCTCCTTCTCTTTCTTTCCATTTTTTCTTTCCCCTTCTTTCATCTTCATTATGATTCCTCTTTGATTGCTCTGGATTTTGATCACAAAGCATAGCTGGTTCTTTCTGTATAGCAAAATCTGTGGGATAAAATCAAACTGCAGCTAAATTTGACTTTTAGATCATAGTCAACATTCTTCAGTGTGAGAATATATTTGATTTTCATAAAGTAGTAGTGTTGTACATTGTTGGAAAAAGAGAGGAAAGAAAAAGTAAGGTTATCAAAATCAGTGAAGATTTTCATAAAAAGATCAGTTTATTTATTTTTAAAGATTGTATTTATTTGAGAGAGTGAGTGAGAGAGAAAGAAAGAACAAGAGGGAGAGGTAGAGGCAGACTCCTTGTGGAGCAGGGAGCCCAACATAGGGCTCGATCTCAGGACCCCAAGATCATGACCCGAGCTGAAGGCAGACTCCCAACCCACTGAGCCACCCAGGCACCCCAAAAGATCAGTTTAAAAATAATTTACTTCTGGATTTAAATATAGACTGAGTAAGGAAAGCGGCTGTGTATTGAAATTAATATGTCTCCTTGTGATGTTATTCAAAAATAAGTTACCTTGCGGTGCCTGGGTAGCTCAGTCAGTTAAGCGTCCGCCTCTTGATTTTGGCTCAGGTCATGACCACAGGGTTGTGAGATCAAGCCCATGTTGAGACCACATCGGGCTCCATGCTCAGCACAGAGTCTGCTTGAGGTTCTCTCTCTCCCTCTCTCTCTGCCCCTCCCCCCTCTTGTACTCTATAAATTAAATAAATAAATAAATAAAATCTTTTTTTTTTTAATTTATTTGACAGAGAAAGAGATAGCAAGAGAGGGAACACAAGCAGGGGGAGGGGAGAGGGAGAAGCAGGCTTCCCGCTGAGCAGGAGCCCGATGCAGGGCTCGATCCCAGGACCCTGAGATCATGACCTGAGCCGAAGGCAGATGCCTAACAACTGAGCCACCCAGGCGCCACTAAATAAATAAAATCTTAAAAAAAAAAGAAAAGAAAAGGAGTTTCACCCCATGGCTGACCAGTCTATTATCTGAAGAACATGTTAAATCCTAGACAGAAAACTCTTTTGACAATCTTAAGCCACTGATTTAAATGGTAGTTCCTTAAAAGTCCAAAGTTTGAGGTCCAAAATCCTTGGGAACACAACTGGACGACATATTCAGCACTGTTTCCCTCTCCAGTCCTGTCCATATGCTTGCGATCTTCCAAGAGCCATCTATGCTACGTGGTAAGATTAATGAATCAACTAACTTCACGTATTTAACCTTTGTTCATTAAGCTGAAACTTAATTGTGTACTGACAAACCGGTAAAAGCCAATAGAAATTCTGGGTTTTCAGGAGTTACTTCATGGGGGGGAAAAGTAATGAATCATCACCATCTCTACCTCAACTAGCCAATGGCAGCGGCTTCTTCTTTTTCCTAGCTAGGCAGTTATTTTTTTCAAATTATATTTTCTTTTCTTTTTAACTAATTCTTTTTTAAAAAAAGATTATATTTGTTTATTTGTCAGAGAGAAAGAGAGAACACAAGCAGGGGGAGCAGCAGGCAGAGGGAGAAGCAGGTTCCCCACTGAGCAAGGAGCCCCACGCGGGACTTGATTCCGGGACCCTGGGACCATGACCTGAGCTGAAGGCAGATGCTTAATCAACTGAGCCACCCAGGCACCCCTCTTTATTATGCATTTAATTTAAAATATCTATTATTATCCTCTAGGGAAACTTTGGGGACTATCTTAGCCCTCTCAGGTACAGACACTGAATAAACCCAGTTCTACTTAATGGTTTGCCATATTGGAGAACTTACTTAGAAAGTGGGACATGGGGTTGTCTCTACTCTCAGATCTCTTAAAAAGGGGTATTCTCTCATATTACCAAGTCTTGGACTTTGTTTAAGGCAGAGTCTAGATGCAGGGTCTCCTTCATTCACATTATACTCTTGATGTGGTTCAGGAGATGCTACTCCAAAATATGGCACTTTGGTATATTGACTATTCTAAGCTGAAGGAGTTTGAGAAAACGGCAGGAGCAGGAATGTCACTCTGACTTCCCCCACTCCCCTTGTTCCCAGAAATAGGCCATAAAACCCTCATGTGAAGGTGCCCTCCCTATACCCAGAGGAAAAGAAAACATCCTTATCTCTGAAGACAAAGAGACGCCAAGAAGAATCCTAACAAACAGGCCTGGCTGGGTTTCTCCTAGTTTACTACAATTATCGCATACTCTGTGACATATCGTATTTCTTCTCAACCGTCTGCTCTTCATCACACGTAGCATAAAAATACTCAGGTTTAACCATTTCTTTGGGTCTTCATTTTCTTACGAAGTCTCCAGGGTCATGTCAAACTTATATTAAATAAATTTGTATCCTTTTTTTCCCCCATTAATCTGTCTTTGTTACTTTAATTTTCAGACCCAGCCAGGGACCCTAAACGAGTTAAGGAAAACTTTTTCCTCCCTTATACTCTATAACTTAGATCGCAAACTCCTTCCGGTATGTGAAAGGATCTTTGATCTACACGTAGTAAAGAAGGAGAGGGGAGCAAAGCTAGTTCTGTTTAATTTTTTTTCTTGAAAATCTTTTGTATCTTAAACCAGACTGCACATTGTGGACTTGAACCCAAGAACTTGGGCACTTTTGTCGTCTCATTTTGCCATGCCTGAGTAGAAGCAAATGAATTGGTGCTGAAGGAATCCACAGGAGAAGGGACCCATCTGTTAATTCTTTGCAGAATTATCCTGCCTCAGTGGAGTTAAGGATTATCCTCCTATTTTCCTACCTCAGTGGAGTGAAGGATGGCATTCTTTGGTTTCTAGCTTGATGAGTGATGATTCCAACAGCAGAAACAGAACATTTTAGAGAGAAATAGGTGGGTGTGTGAGTTAGTTTCAGACGTTATTAGTTTGCAGATTCAAATGAAGACATATCCAGCATCCCCCACCCCGCCCGGTTGAAGATATGACTTTAAAGACACCAGGAAAGGTCAGAGTTAGACAGTGAACTTGGGAGCCATCAGCATGGTGCTGAAATGATTAATTTGGGATGAGATGCATCCAGAGATTGCTTAAAACAGCAAATGGTTTTTCAGAAGTTACTTCAGAGTGGAAAAAAGTGATGAATCACCACCGTCTCTGCCTCAACTAGCCAATGATGTCCTTTTTTATTTTTTCCTATCTAGGCAGTTGTTTTCTTCAAATTATATTTTCAAGGCCAAAATTTGTCCCTCCAACCCCCTATGAAAACCTGATTGTTCAGAAGATGATTATTTTGGGAACAACAAAATTAAAGGGGAAAAATCAATTAACTGTATGATGATAACCACTGACAATCTTTTTCTTTTTATTATTATTTAAGTAATCTCTACACCCAACGTGGGCCTCGAGCTCACAATCCCAAGATGCTCTTCTTACTGAGGCAGCCAGGTGCCCCTCTGACAGTCTTAATGTAAACATTTTCTGTGGCATTGGGGGAAAATGGACAAGGAAATATGGATAACCCTTGTCAGAAGTTTGAATGGGAAAAGGAGAGAGATGGGTGAAGCTATTGTTAGACCAAGTTTGAAGGACAGAGGAAAAGGCAGAAAATGTCTCTGGATCAGGCAAAAGGGTAAGAGTTAAGTGTTCAGGTGAGTGGTTGGCTTGAACAGCAGGAAGAAAAGGAGGAATCCCTCAGCCTTTATTCTTAGATTCCAGAAGTGACAGTGACAGATACCAGGTAACGTTGTGAAATGCTGGCGGGGGAGGGTTGGAAGAGCAGGGAGGAGACTGAAGAAGTCACATTTTTTTTTTTTTAAAGATTTTATTTATTTATTCATGAGAGACAGAGAGAGAGAGAGAGAGAGAGAGACAGAGGCAGAGGGAGAAGCAGGCTCCCCGCAGAGCAGGGAGCCCGATGTGGGACTCGATCCAGGGACTCCAGGATCATGACCTGAGCCGAAGGCAGTCGCTTAACCAACTGAGCCACCCAGGCGCCCCAAGAAGTCACATTTAATGGCCTTAGTTTTTGAGGGTGAGTTAGGAGAGAGGATATCTGCCTATAGAAAGGGGGGCAGGGTTCCATGGGTGATATGAAGATTAATAAATAACAACAATATGAACTGTTTAGTGAATGCTTTCTATTTAATAACATGCTATTAAGATAAGAATATTAAATAATTTTATTTAACACTTGAGATAGAAACTATGAGATAGAAATTACTATAATCCTCATTTTATGAATGAGGAAGTTGCCAGTTAGAGCAGGTCAGTAGCTGGTCTTAAGTCATAGTTTAGTAAGTGGTGGGGCCTGGAGAGAAAGAAGGGCTGTCTGACTCCAAATCGCAAAAGTCAGGATGCCATCCAGGAAAGCTAAAGGGATCATCCCTAGGGGATCTGAGAATAATGACGTGAGGTATTTCTGTTCTGATCTACCTAGCTGCTTGAAATAATAACCATCTGTAGTTAAAACACGAACAGAAGGCTTGAGTTTCCAGAGTGAAAAAGAACAACAGTGCAGATAAGTGATAAAAAGAGACATGTCAGAACCTTTCCCGCCAAAGTGCAGATCAGCAAATCTTCTGAAATCTCTGTAGGGCACGTTTATCCAAAGGACACATCTGCTTAACAACAACCTGGGTAGAAGGTGGTATGGTGCAGAGGTTTTGAATAGAGGTTCTAGTATATTTTCCTTCTTACAAATGCTCCTTGTAGCTATTCTACTGGAGAAGAACAGACATACGAAATGAGCAAAACCCCTTTGGCAACATTCCCTAGCCCCTCCACGCCCACCCTCCACCTCTACCCAGCCAGTGGTTCTCAAACTTTTGCAGGCGTAATAATCCCCAGGAGGCCTTGCTAAAACAGAGGCTCCTAGGATTCACCCCCAGAGTTCCTGATTCTGTAGCTCAAAGGTGAAGCTCAAAAATGTGCATGTTTGACAAGCTGCTCATCCGGGGAGCACACTTTGAGAATCACCACACTGGCTTGCTTCACATCACATGCTTATCCAGAGTATTATGAAGGGTAGACCCTTGGGTTAGATTGGAAGTCTTAGCACACAAGCTAATGCCTGAAGGAGAGCGGACCCTCCCGCTCACCACAAGGGACTA